GGCTGGTTTCGAACTCCTGACCTTGAGTGATCCGCCCGCCTCGGCCTTCCAGATTGACAGTACTGTCTTTTTTTTTTTTTTTATTTTTTTTTATTTTATTTTTTTATTTTATTTCTGTCACAGTCTGCTTCTAGAACAGTACTGTTCTTAAAACTTAAAATCTGCTTGAGAGGGACAAATGTGTGCAAACACCTTCCCAGAAGTTCATTTAGGTATCACATGTGTTCCAAGCTGTAAGGAATGAAATGTCAGATGCAATTGACCCTAGCCTTGAAATGTACAGATGCAATTGATCAGAGCATGAAATGTATAGATGCAATTGACCCAAGCCATGAAATATACGATGCAATTGACCAGAGCCATGTAATGTACAGATGCAATTGACCAGAGCCATGAAATGTACAGATGCAATTGACAGTCACTGTTCTTTGAGTAGAGCTAGAGAGTGGCGGAGGTTCTGGGTGAGGGTGACTTTTATCCAGGTTTTTAGAAAGGGGGTAAACTTTGGATTTTGATGTACAATTAGACTTGACATTGTTCCTTAGCAAAATTTAGAATGAATTTTAAAACTTTGTGAGCACTTAGATTGGGGAGAAATAAAAACTAAGGATGAGCTTGAGTTTACAAAGAACAAGTGAGATCAAACTAACTGTGGTCCTTTACTCACAGGTCTCCTAGTAAATAAGGAAACGCTGAAGATGCAATATTTCAGCCTGGCCTTGGGCAGTCCCCCAGAAGGCAGCACTTGCTTGTTTTGTTACAGTACTTGGGGCTTTGCTCTTTGTCAGACTTTGTGGATGAGGCCAAAAAAAGACATATTTATTAAATTTGTAGATGACTAATTTTTAATGGTTTAGAAAATAGAATTAGGGTTTAGAGTTAGGCTGAAAGTACGGACCAATATTGAAAAGACGAAATTTCACCAGGATAACACTATACATATATATATATATATGTATATATATATATATATATGTGCACATATATACAGATAGATTCAACATTCATTGTTGCTTATATTCAAGGAAAATGAAGGTCTATTTTAAGAACAAGTCAGTGAAAAAGTTCTAGTTTTTTAGGACTGCAAACTCAACATAGCCAAGGGTGTGAGGACTGCCAAGACACACGTGCACTCAAATCTAGACTGCATTAATAACAGCTGAGCGTCCAGAATAAGGGAAGCAATAGTCCCTCTGCTTTGTGCTCTGAGACCACACACATTGGGAGTGTTGCATCCTCTCCTGGGTCCCCTGGTTCAAGAGGAAACATGGAGAAAGTGGAGCCTATCCCGGAATGGGTGAGCAGGACAGTGAAGAGGGAAAAATCATGTCAAATAGGAAATGGCTGAATAATCTGGGGAACATAATCGCTCTCTTCAGTTATGTGGGGTACAAATTTCATGTCACTCCAGAGAGCAGAACTAAAACCAGTGGTAGTGGAGGAATTTGAGAAAGCAAATTATGAATCTATATAAAGGAGAAATAAAAACTAGAGCTCTTAAATATTTAGTGAATTAAGTATTAATTGCAATATTATAGAGATGATAATTCTTCCAATTCAATTTTGATCAAAAGCCAGTAGCAAACCAAAAGAAAAAAAAAGGGGGATTTTTTTTGGGGGGGTTGGGGCAAATTCCAAAAATTACCTAGAAAAATAAATAGACAATAAAGGCTTTGGATATTGAAAAGAGAAGGTTGGTTCATTATAAAGGTATAAATTAATATATATATATATATTTTTTTGAGACAGAGTCTCACTTTGTTGCCCAGGCTAGAGTGAGTTGCCGTGGTGTCAGCCTGGCTCACAGCAACCTCAATCTCTCTGGGCTCAGCGATCCTACTTGTCTCAGCCTCCCGAAGTAGCTGGGACTACAGGCATGCGCCACATGCCGGTAACTTTTTTGTATATATATATATATTTTTTTTTTTTTGAGACAGAGTCTCGCTTTGTTGCCCAGGCTAGAGTGAGTGCCCTGGCGTCAGCCTAGCTCACAGCAACCTCAAACTCCTGGGCTCGAGTGGATCCTTCTGCCTCAGCCTCCCGGGTAGCTGGGACTACAGGCATGCGCCACGATGGCCGGCTAATTTTCTCTATATATATCAGTTGGCCAATTAATTTCTTTCTATTATAGTAGAGACGGGGTCTCGCTCTTGCTCAGCTGGTTTCGAACTCCTGACCTCGAGCAATCCGCCCGCCTCGGCTCCAGAGTGTATATATATTTTTAGTTGGTCAATTTCTTTCTATTTTTGGTAGAGACCGGGTCTCGCTCAGGCTGGTTTCGAACTCCTGACCTTGGCAATCCGCCCGCCTCGGCTCCAAAGTGCTAGGATTACAGGCGTGAGCCACCGCGCCCGGCTAAATTAATATTTTTATAAGAGTCTAAGAAGAAATAAAAGTAAAAATAAAATAAATAAAAAATTTTAAAATTAAAAAAAGAAAAAAATAAAGCTATAAATTAAAGTGACAGTGGTGCAGACAAATCAATGGAATGGTTATCTCAGAAATAGACTCTGATACATCAATAATTTAATAAAAGACAAAAGTGGTATAACAACTGGGGAGAAATTGAGGACTTATTTAATATTAATACATTTTCTAGGACAATTAGCTTGTAATTGAGGAAATTACAAAATACTCTAAAAAGACTTCCAGGTAATTTTAAATTACATGTTAAATGGTTAAAAAAATCAAGGCCATAAAAATTAGAAAAATTAGAAGTGAATATTTAGAAAACCCCTGCATTTGGGGAGAATTTTTGTTTTATTATATTTTAGTGTAACACATTTCAAATATAAAAATAAATAGAATACGAGGACAAATATCTATATATACCTTATTAAAAATAAATAGAATAATATGACAAATATCCATATATTCCTTATCTAAGTTTACCAATTTTTAGCACTTTGCCATATTTATTTTCTTTTTGAAGCATTTGGAAATAAATTATAGACATATTGCTTAACCCTTACATTCTTTCAAATACATCTCTAAAGTAAGCATATTTTTCTTAACTAAGTGGAATACTTTCATCATTATCACATCGAAAAAATTAATAATAATTCCATAATACCTTTAAAAAAATTTTTTTAAGGCTAGGCAAGTGAAGCAGTGGGAGTGGAGAAGGAACAAATGAATCTGTAACTGGTTGTGATCAATTAGTCGTAAACACCACTGCACTCAGACCAGCCATAATTCCATGATATCTCCTAATATTCAGTATATATTGAGTTTTCCTCAGTCGTTCGTTCCCAAAGTGTGTTTTCCAGCTACGTTGCTCAAACCAGAATTCAGTCTTTACCTACATGCCTCATAACATTTGGCTCTTAGTTCCTATTACTCTGTTAATCCTGTTAATTCATAAAAATTCTCCTTCCTCCCCCTCTTTTTTTTTTTCATTACGTTTTCTTGTTGACAAGACTGGATCAATTTCCTGGTAGAATTCCATTTTCTGGATTTGTATGATTGCTTTCATCTGATTTCATTTAAATTTTAGTTAACACTCCACTGTATTTCCCATAGGCTGAAAATTTTGATCTAAAGTTGTTATTAAAGTCAGGTAAAACATTCAAGAATATGTCATGGGTGATACTGTGAACATTATATTGTATCGTATCCGGAGTTGCATAATACCCAGTTGTGTTACTTTTTATGATACTAAGACCAAGCCTTGCATTAATGGTAAATGGGAAAATTAATAGATCTATTTATTGTAAAGTCATGATTTTTTTCCCTTGAGGAAAGTTCTATGTGTTAGTAACTCAGCAGCGGATCAATATTCAGTTCCCTATCAACCTTATACTCAACACTTTTTGCCTATATTGCTAATTCTTGTCTGAACCAAATACAACATTATGAGTTGCAAAATGGTGATTTTTTTCAATTCTGCTAGTCTTTTTGCTTTCATTAGCTAACGTTCTTCTGATACAGTTCCTCCTCATTAACTGGAGATATTTGTTACGCTGAACTAGGGTTCCATTTAGAAAAGGAAGAATTAATACTTAACACTTTTTAACAATTTTTAAGTAAGAAATTGGTGTAATAGTTACCTCAATTGGTGATGTGTTTTTTTCTTTCTGCGCTGAGTATCATTAGGATTTTTATCTATTCAAATGTGTCAATCAATAACAGTCATTACAATGCTGGGACAGATTGTATTTACTGAAGTAGCTACACCAATATAGTCCGCCCCACATGTTCTTCTTACAATGTGACGTTGACACTTCTCTATCACTTCTGCCTGGCACTCTCTTGGGACACACGCTTTTAGGGAAATCCAGCCACCCTGAAGCCACCATGTTGAAGAGAGCAGAAGGAAAAACAACGTAAGAGAAATAGATGACTAAAGAGTCCTAATTGTTCCATCCCTTAGCTGTTCCAGTGTAGGCACTGGTCTTATGAGTAAATGATATTTCAGAAAATTTCAGTCTCTAGCACAAATGATGCTAAGTGGGGTAGAAATCAGCTGACCTACTGAGCCCTGCTCAGACTGCAGATTTATGAGAAAAATAATTTTTTTTTTTGAGATGGGGTCTCGCTATGTTGCCTAGTCTCCTCTTGGGCTCAAGCAATCCTCCCACCTCAGCCTCTCAAATAGCTGGGACTACAGGTATGACCCACTACGCACAGCTGAAAATGTTTTATGCTAAGTTTGGCATGACTTTTCACATAGTCACAGTAACTAGAACATATGCTTAGACGAAGTGGGCCTTTGAGAACCTCCCTAGACAGGGCTGACCCCTGTCCTTTGACATGACCACAGTGCTCTTCAATAATTCCCTTGCTTTGTGATGTAAGATGATGTCTTGAGCTCACCCTTTACATTCTCTGCTTCAGATCTGAAATCAGCCTTTTGCCCCAAGAGCCCTGGTTCTTTTTAGTGAGGAAGGATATTTAGCCTTCAAGATCTGGGCATTATGAAAGCTTTCAATGGAACAAATTACAATGGAAAAATTACACATGATGCCAATAAAACATTTTAACATGTTTCCCCAAAGCAGAATTGAAAGACAAAACAATGAAGCTCAACGAAATGGACAAGAAAAGTATCAAAAATCCAGTGAAGCTCAACAAAATGGACAAGAAAAGTATCAAAAATCCAGTAAAAAGAAAAATCAGCACAGACAAGCAATTCTCAAAAGATGAAATACCAATAAATAGTTATTATTGAATCATTTTCAACTCATAATGATAAGAAAGAGGTTATATATTATTTTTTCTTTATCAAATGAGTAGATTTTCTTTAAAAGAACTGAGCCTCAAATCTGACAAGAGTGCAGTGGAACTGTGATCTTGGACACACTGGTGGGAATGCCACTTGATTATTGGCTTTCTGCTAAGTAATTCGGTCATGCGAATTCAAAGTCTTAAAAAGTTCAAGCCATTTATACTGGTTAGGATAGAGCCTAAGATACTATAAAAAAGAGGTACCAAAATGAAATGGCTTAAAAAAACCTGAATTTATTTTTCTATTTTTTAGACAGAGTCTCACTTTGTTGCCCAGGTTAGAGTGAGTGCTGTGGCATCAGCCTAGCTCACAGCAACCTCAAACTCCTGGGCTCAAGCAATCCTCCTGCCTCAGCCTCCCAGGTAGCTGGGACTACAGGCATGCGCCACCATGCCTGGCTCATTTTTTCTATATATATTAGTTGGCCAATTAATTTCTTTCTATTTATAGTAGAGACGGGGTCTCGCTCTTGCTCAGGCTGGTTTCGAACTCCTGACCTTGAGTGATCCGCCCGCCTCGGCCTTCCAGATTGACAGTACTGTTCTTTTTTTTTTTTTTTAATTTATTTATTTATTTTTTTTATTTTATTTCTGTCACAGTCTGCTTCTAGAACAGTACTGTTCTTAAGAAACTTAAAATCTGCTTGAGGAGACAAATGTGTGCAAACACCTTCCCAGAAGTGCATTTAGGTGTCACATGTGTTCCAAGCTGTAAGGAATGAAATGTACAGATGCAATTGACCCAAGCCATGAAATATACAGATGCAATTGATCAGAGCCATGAAATGTATAGATGCAATTGACCAGAGCCATGAAATGTATAGATGCAATTGACCAGAGCCATGAAATGTATAGATGCAGTTGACAAGAGCCATGAAATGTACAGATGCAATTGACAGTCACTGTTCTTTGAGTAGAGCTAGAGAGTGGCAGAGGTTCTGGGTGACGGTGACTTTTATCCAAGTTTTTAGAAAGAGGGTAAACTTTGGGTTTTGATGTACAATTAGACTTGACATTGTTCCTTAGCAAAATTTAGAATGAATTTTAAAACTTTGTGAGCACTTAGATTGGGGAGAAATAAACACTAAGGATGAGCTTGAGTTTACAAAGAACAAGTGAGATCAAACTAACTGTGGTCCTTTACTCACAGGTCTCCTAGTAAATAAGGAAACGCTGAAGATGCAATATTTCAGCCTGGCCTTGGGCAGTCCCCCAGAAGGCAGCACTTGCTTGTTTTGTTACAGTACTTGGTGCTTTGCTCTTTGTCAGACTTTGTGGATGAAGCCAAAAAAAAGACATATTTATTAAATTTGTAGATGACTAATTTTTAATGGTTTAGAAAATAGAATTAGGATTTAGAGTTAGGCTGAAAGTACGGACCAATATTGAAAAGACGAAATTTCACTGGGATACACCTATACATATATATATATATATATATATGTGCACATATATACAGATAGATTCAACATTCATTGTGCTTATATTCAAGGAAATGAAGGTCTATTTTAAGAACAAGTCAGTGAAAAAGTTCTAGTGTTTTTAGGACTGCAAACTCAACATAGCCAAGGGTGTGAGGACTGCCAAGACACATGCACTCAAATCTAGACTGCATTAATAACAGCTGAGCGTCCAGAATAAGGGAAGCAATAGTCCTTCTGCTTTGTGCTCTGAGACCACACACATTGGGAGTGTTGCATCCTCTCCTGGGTCCCCTGGTTCAAGAGGAGACATGGAGAAAGTGGAGCCTATCCCGGAATGGGTGAGCAGGACAGTGAAGAGTGAAAAATCATGTCAAATAGGAAATGGCTGAATAATCTGGGAACATAATCGCTCTCTTCAGTTATGTGGGAGTACACAAATTTCATGTCACTCCAGAGAGCAGAACTAAAACCGGTCAGAAAATTTCGAGTCTCTAGCACAAATGATGCTAAGTGGGGTAGAAATCAGCTGACCTACTGAAGCCCTGCTCAGGACTGCAGATTTATTGAGAAAAATAATTTTTTTTTTGAGATGGGGGTCTCGCTATGTTGCCCTGGTCTTCCTCTGGCTCAACGCAATCCTCCCACCTCAGCCTCTCAAATAGCTGGGACTACAGGTATGACCCACTACGCACAGCTGAAAATGTTTTAAGCTAAGTTTGGCATGACTTTTCACATAGTCACAGTAACTAAGAACATATGCTTAGACGAAGTGGCCTTTGAGAACCTCGCTAGACAGGGCTGACCCCTGTCCTTTGACATGACCACAGTGCCCTTCAATAATTCCCGTTGCTTTGTGATATAAGATGATGTCTTGAGCTCACCCTTTACATTCTCTTGCTTTGGATCTGAAATCAGCCTTTTGCCCCAAGAGCCCTGGTTCTTTTTAGTGAGGGAAGGATATTTTAGCCTTCAAGATCTGGGCATTATGAAAGCTTTCAATGGACAACAAATTACAATGGAAAAATTACACATGATGCCAATGAAAACATTTAACATGTTTCCCCAAAGCAGAATTGAAAGACAAAACAATGAAGCTTCAACAAAATGGACAAGAAAAGTATCGAAGAATCCAGTGAAGCTCAACAAAATGGACAAGAAAAGTATCAAACAATCAGTAAAAAGAAAAATCAGCACAGACAAGCAATTCTCAAAAGATGAAATACCAAGTAAATAGTTATTATTGAATCATTTTCAACTCATAATGATAAGAAAGAGTTATATATTATTTTTTCTTTATCAAGATGAGTAGATTTCTTTAAAAGAACTGAGCCTCAAATCTGACAAGGAGTGCAGTAGGAACTGTGATCTCTGGGGCGCAACTGTTGGGAATGCAGTTGATTATTGGCTTTCTGCTAATAATTTCGGTCATGCGAATTCAAAGTCTTAAAAGTTCAAGCCATTTGATACTGGTTTAGGATAGAGCCTAAGATACTATAAAAAAGGGGTACCAAAATGAAATGGCTTAAAAAAACCTGAATTGTATTTTTCTATTTTTTAGACAGAGTCTCACTGTTGTTGCCCAGGCTAGGAGGTGAGTGCTGTGGCATCAGCCTGGCTCACAGGCAAAACCTCCAAACTCCTGCGGCTCAAAGCCAATCCTCCTGCCTCAGCCTCCCGGGGGTAGCTGGGACTTACAGGCACAACGCCGCCACCAATGCCCGGCTAATTTTCGTAGATGATATATTAGGTTGGCCACATTAATTTCTTCTAGTCTTTCTATTTTAGTAGAATGGGGTCTCGCTCTTGCTCCAGGCTGGTTTTGAACTCCTGACCTTTCAAGTGAATCTTCCACCCAGCCCTCCCAGTGTGCTAGTTTACAGGTGGTGGCCATCCGGCCCGGCCTTTATTTTGCTTTGATGTACAGCAGTCCAGGACAGTCGGAGTGGTCCAGGTTGGGGAGGGCAGCCTGTGTCCAAGTTTTCTTCCCTTCCTTTGCTCTGCCATTCCCTAAGGTGTTAAGGGCTGTGTTTTGAGCGAGGGGTCCCAGCAAGTCTGTGTTCTAGCTTGCATGGAGGGGGAAAACAAACGTCTAGGGACAGGACTGCTTTTTTAAGCAAGGGAAGTGGAATTCTGCCCTCACAAGGCCACCCCTGAGTTGCAAAGGGAGGTTGGAAGCTGTAGTCTTTGGCTGGGCATGCTATACCTCTGGCTAAACACTATTTGTCTTTGGTACATAAGACGACTCTTTGATTCAATAATTCAATTTGATATCCATCCTAATGAAATCAAATGATCACAGAAACACGAGTGTTCATTACTTACATGAACAGTGACTCAGCACAGGGATAATTGGTTTTCAGTATGTTACTTTACTAGGCTACTAAGCTCCTTGGAAACAGCTTAAGCAGTATAATCTGAAGGGTTTTGAGTCTCTATGAGAATCAATGAGGATGGGGAAACCATTGGAGGATTTTAAGTAAAGAGAGATTCAGTGTGATAAGGAAGAAACATTT